GCTGGGGTTTTCTTCCCTTGAAAACCCTCGGTTCCCATCCAACCGTATCATCCTATGTTCATACCATGTTTTTTGCACTTCTTGTTATTTAGGCAGTGTTTTGGCGCTATCCTCGATTTGTTTGCAGGGTTGAGCAACGGTGATGTTCATGTCCACCGGCATGGGAGCCTTCCTCGCGGCCTGACGTGTTAGAATCCTTTGTGAATGAGCGCGATTTAGGAATTTATTCTACAAGAACTGGATGGAGGTAGTGAGGCTTAGATATGGGTAAGAAGCGGATCTGATCCTTGGACCGTGCGAGTGGTAAGGGCGCTACTTGTTGCACCACGGAAACTCTAGACGATTTTTCGTTACCCCCGTTGGCTAAAATTTACGGCGCACACATGCAGTACTAACGAAAAGCTTCTGCATCTGAAACGAACTACAATTAAGTTGCGCTGTATGGAGCATACGGTTCGAGAAAGACCTCTCCACATTGAGGCACATGCACCACACGCTTCAAATTGCTTGAAAGATTTATTTCCAGTACAGCACAGAACTGCTCTCATGTAGAAGAAGTTGAATTGAGGTTGCTTAATATCCTGGAGCGGTACGAGGTGGAGGACAGTGGTCGCAGCCTCCTCCAGGTCCTTGGTTACCGTCATCTCCTGGTCTTCCGTCATTTCCAGGATTTCCATCATTACCAGGTCGTCCATTGTCTCCAGGTAGTCCTGGTCCACCATCTCGTCCTGGGTTTCCTGGTGCACCTGGCTGTCCATCGGGACCAGGAGGTCCTCGAGGTCCAGGAGGTCCAGGTGGGTCCTTGAGAACCAGGTCCTTGGGTGAGTACTCCTGGGGGTCCAGGAGGACCAGGCGTTTCCGGGCTGACCTGCGTTTCCAGGTGGTCCTGGTGGACCCAAGGGACCTGGTCCTCCGGGATTTCCAGGGTTTCCTGGCTGGCCATCAGATCCAGGATTTCCTGGTGCTCCTTTGTTTCCTGGACTTCCAGGTGGACCAGGAGGACCGGGAGGGCAGTTGAAGCATGGTTGCGGAGCCGGGGGAGCTGGCGTGGCTGGTGGTCCATCAGGTCCATTTCTGCCAGGCTGTCCTGGTTGACCGTCATTTCCAGGCTGCCCGTCCTGTCCAGGGGGTCCGGGTGGTCCAGCTGGAGAAACTCCACATCCACAGCATCCACCGGCCTGACGGGCTTTCCTGCTTGGTGCAGCAAGAGCCTAAACTCAATGATTGGGTTTTCTTCTCTTCGAATTAAATCAAAATGTGAAAAACGAACCTGAGTACGAGTGACTTCTCTCCAGATATTTCCTGTGCGGGACTTGCAGAAATCGACTTCGTTCTGCATGACGGACTGCATGTGCTGCATGTAGTTGTACAGCATGGGCACGGAAACCACACAGACGAGGGTGGCAACGGTGGAGAGGGCCACTCCAAAGAAGGCGAACCTTCTCATAGAGAGCGCTTCCGATTCCCAGTGCTTCTCGTCGCCGGTCATGTTAGCTGCTTGTGAAGAATAAGCACCAACTGCTTTTATACCGCTGCGCCGCAGTATCGAAAATATTACTGCATTAGCGGCTCACTGAGATCAGTCCTTTCCTTGACCCTATTAGATGTCAATGCAGAGGTTTAAAGTAGGCTATAGGTGATTAGGCGAGAAAAACAGATGACCATCTTCGCGAACGCTAATTCGATTAGTCGTATCTACGATTTCTATAAATCTACGATTAGACAGGTTGGAAACCTTAGCTGTGTGAGAAGGGTTTTGAATGCATCACCACAGTTCGAACCTGCTAAGGCTACTATGCGTCTGTTCACCTCAAGAATGCTCCCTAAATCCACGGCTAGTCAAGTTGACCTTCATGTGGCGCCATGTTTTCTCGGCTAATCACTGATAGCCTAGTTTAAACTCTGCATTGACATCTAACAAGGTCAAGGGAGGAGTTGGCTTCCGTAAGGCGCTAATGCAGTAATATTGTTGCGGCGCAGCAGTATAAAAGTAGTTGGTGTTGAGTGTCCACAAGCAGCTAACATGACCGGCGACGAGAAGCACTGGGAATCGGAAGCGCTCTCTATGAGAAGGTTCGCCTTCTTTGGAGTGGCCCTCTCCACCGTTGCCACCCTCGTCTGTGTGGTTTCCGTGCCCATGCTGTACAACTACATGCAGCACATGCAGTCCGTCATGCAGAACGAAGTCGATTTCTGCAAGTCCCGCACAGGAAATATCTGGAGAGAAGTCACTCGTACTCAGGTTCGTTTTTCAAATTTTGATTTAATTCGAGAGAAGAAAACCCAATCATTGAGTTTAGGCTCTTGCTGCACCAAGCAGGAAAGCCCGTCAGGCCGGTGGATGCTGTGGATGTGGAGTTTCTCCAGCTGGACCACCCGGACCTCCTGGACAGGACGGGCAGCCTGGAAATGACGGTCAACCAGGACAGCCTGGCAGAAATGGACCTGATGGACCACCAGCCACGCCAGCTCCCCCGGCTCCGCACCATGCTTCAACTGCCCTCCCGGTCCTCCTGGTCCACCTGGAAGTCCAGGAAACAAAGGAGCACCAGGAAATCCTGGATCTGATGGCCAGCCAGGAAACCCTGGAAATCCCGGAGGACCAGGTCCCTTGGGTCCACCAGGACCACCTGGAAACGATGGTCAGCCCGGAAACGCCGGTCCTCCTGGACCCCAGGAGTACTCACCCAAGGACCTGGTTCTCAAGGACCACCTGGACCTCCTGGACCTGCGAGGAGCTCCTGGTCCCGATGGACAGCCAGGTGCACCAGGAAACCCAGGACGAGATGGTGGACCAGGACTACCTGGAGACAATGGACGACCTGGTAGTGATGGAAATCCTGGAACTGACGGAAGACC